AAAAAAAAAAAGAAGAAGAGGATGAACATACAAGGATGAAAGTTCAAAAATTTCTTTCTCAACAAGCAATCTCAATGTTGATGGGAGTGAAAGTATCACTTTTAAGAGAGCAATCAGTTAATAACTAACAAAATTATGGTTGAGGGTATCTTCTGACCTAGTAGTTCTTGGAAGAATTCAATAGATATACAGATCTGCCTGCATAATATACAGTGGCATATGATAGCGTTATAATTTGCAGAGTTATTGGCAATAACAGATGGGATTTAATCTAATGAACAGATTACAGTATACCCACGCAATGAATGCAATATTTCAAAAGCAAAAACAGGTGAGGAAAATATATATTTATATTTATTTAAATTTTTCTGAAGAAACACTAAAAATTAAAGATTAATCAAAATGTTTAGAGAGGGCTAGGGTGATAGCTCAGCAGCATAAGTGCTTGCCTGGCAAGTGCAAAGTCCTGTGTTTGATCCACGGTAATAACAACAACAAAAATGTCTACAGAAGATGAAAGGACATAGAATGATAGTGGAAGAGGAAGGACAGCTAGGATGATAGCTTTTTATATCGTTTTGATATTTAATCATATATTTACCCATTTTTCATAAAAATACTATAATTTTTTTAACGAAAGAATCTCTTCTTATTAGTTTTTGGTTGTCATTACAAGTTTAATTTCATGAATTTTTTCATGAATTTGCATGAATTTTTTCATATGACCTTTAGATCAGTGAAAATATTTACCTCTCCAAGTGTTTATCATTTCCTTATGATAAGAGCACTCAAAATTCTTTTCTGCTTTCTTTTCGAAATATATACTATTTCAAAAACTTGCTAATAATACTTCATTAATTTTAGAATCAGATAAATAATACATTTAAAGATAAAGTACTAACCTGGTTGCTTTAATTTTATTTTGGCCATCTAAGTAGAAAGGTTTGTCATTGTTGTATTCATCAAACACACCCCAGCGGAGGTGGGCCCATTCGTGGGCAAACACTCTGCCTGTGGAGCAGAGAGAAGCCTCTGAAAGCTCAGCGTGTGGCCTTGCTGCTCAGAACACGCGGCACCACTTGACTTGGAGAACGTCTCATTCTAAAGAACTGAAATACAATTCCTCCTCCCACTTCCTGCTCACCCCAATTCTGCTTGACCCTCTCTATATAATCATAAAAGCATGATATGAAAATATAAATAGTCCTGTACATGGGAAGCAGAGGTTCACTTCTCCATTCATTAGAAGGTAATGACGTCCCCCCCACCACCTCCAGTGAGGTCGTCTAACAGGTTTCTACTCAGCTGCAGATAGGCCGGTAAATTTAGGGCTTAGAGAAAAAGAAGTACATCCAAGAAAACAAATAAAGCTTTCCCAATCCCCAGTCTGTGTCATACAAACATACCTGCTTTTTTTTTTCTTGCAAGTAATTATCTTATTTGTAACAATGATTGAAACCTAGGGTTGAAGAGTGGGATGGAAAAAAACAACAATAAAAGCAAGTAGAATTCCATCTCCAGCTTTTGTTGCCTTGTCTTTGTCTCTTTTAGTATCATTCATGTTTGTGTTTGTTTCCAACTCTTATTCCATGGAAGAACTCCACCCTAGTAATCAACTCCTTCATAATTTTACTATGATACGTCTTATATTTCCTTCGAAGTGAAGACCAGAACTTACTTTCTCAGGGAAGCTTTCCACACCAACTAGTCTCACAAAGCACATATTTTTTTTTTTTCTGAGTTATTTTAAGTTCTGAAAATGCAAGGAGCATTTGCTGAATCAACTCAGGTTCGGGCAGATTGTGCAATTTGGGGATCTTGGGACAAAGAAGGGAGGAGAACAGGGCCAACTAAAAGTATTAAGGGGCTTTTGTGACTACTCATGGAATTTAGAAGTGCTGATTATGTCATGTGTTGGTGCAGGAATATCTGCACCTTTCAGTCTCCAGAGGAAATATTCATTTACAGAATTTTGTAAAGGAATGATAATGTTTTATAAAGTATAGTTTATAAATTGAGTTTCTGTATTGCCTGCAAACTATGTAGAGGATCACAAAATCTATTGAGATTTAAATAGGGCATAAAGCTAAATTTTATTTAAAATTTCTTTTATTTAAAAGATACTACAAGTTAAAAACAAAAATACATAAAATTGGGAGAGTGAGCCTGTGACCAACTGGCCTTTTCTCGCTAGTTTCTTACTCAGATCTTACTCGCTGCCCACCGGCCCAGGGTCTGTAGCCCCATGGCCCTGGCTTCACCCCAAGCTCTAACCATTGATATCCAACTAGAGACTGAACCTTTCTGCAGAACAACCCAGAGTTCCTGCCACACAGGGAATCCTGATTGCGTAGGGTCTCTCCTGTCTGGATGACTCCATTCTAAATGACATCTAATGGCTCAGACTTGAACATTTCCCAGAGTTCTTCTCGATATCCAGTTTCTCCCACATTGATTTCTGGTGGCTAGATTATCACACAGGCAGATTCATCTGAAAACAGTGTCATGATGGTGACACTATTCTGCTTAGGAACCGCAAGTGGTGACTATGTGATCATGTGGCTATTTTAGGCCTCTGTCACATTGCCTGGATCTCTAGGACTTTTATCACTTTCTCCTATAACCAGTCTCAGCATCTACTGGTCTGCACCTTTGAAACATGCCTGGGATTCCTCTGTAGCCACAGCTTTACTTGTATCTTCTCCACTGATCTCTTGTTCTTTCCATTAAAAAATGATATTGACATTGAATTGCTTCTCCTCTGTGAGACCTGTTGTGACCACCGTTTTCCCCAAAATTCTTTCACTGAATTCCTAGAGCACTCCTGTCCCAGGCCTCTTATCTGGCACTTAACTCTCTTGGTTCATTCTTATGCATCTTTGCATGTGCATGTGGCCTCCAAGTGGCAAGTAAGACACTGACAAATTTCAGGTTTTCTGAGGTCCCTTTCAGCACAAGGTATTGTGATTAATGCTACCCAGGGGCCATTTTTTGTTAGTTTCACTTACCCCGTGATCCATAGCCAGCCGTTAAATCATCATTCAGTAGGAAATTGGATGTGAAATGAATGTATTTTCCCTCTTTCCCACACCCTCTGTATTGTAGGGTGTACGGATCATCTCCATTTACTCCATTCCAATCAGTCACTATGACATTAGCCTAAATTGAAAGAAATTTGTTGTCATACCTATATCTCCACTAAGATGTTGGTGACAGAAATGTATACGTTTATTAAGGCATTTTGAACTGTACACCTAAGATTTGTATATTTAACTGTATGTAATTATGCCCCAACTTAGAAAAAGGTTAAAGAAAAAAGAAAAGAAATGCCTTCTAGGTTGGGTTTAGAATACACGCAGCTAAGTATCAGCTAAATTGTTTGTGAAAACTATTTCAAATTTTTGGCAAATTTCCATGGGACTTCAACACCTCCTTTGACCTCACTTTCCAGATTAAAATATTCTCAAAAATCAACACTAAAATATGGTATTATAAAGCACTATGGAATATAATAAAATACTTAAATTTTAAGAGCATTAATTTATACTATTAAAATTTGGGCAGTAAAGAGATAGTTTTTTGCAAACAACTATGGGTTATTTCACCAGTGAAGGACATGTTCAGCCTTCTCCTCTCATTTTTATAATCAGTTTGATCAGGAAAACAATCATTCCAATTAAATTATATTTCATCTATGACATGGCCATTTAAACTTTTGTTGCTAAAATAAGACCTTTGAAGTCCAAAAATAAAATATCTGTTCTAATAGCCATCAAGACAACAGAATTTCACATACCATTGTTTTTCATTATTGTTAGGAAGAAGGATAACATACTGTCTCAACCCAACCTTTCTAACTTAAGTTAATAAATGGGAACTGGCTGTGGAAGACACCAGGGAGTAGTGGAAGATCATGTTTTCATTTTTATTTTCCATATTGCTAGACATTTTGATTTTTCCCCATGAACACAAATGATTATAATTTTTAAATTACTATTATAATTTATTTTTAGAAAGCCAGGGGCATTTCAAGGTAACCCTTACAGAAGGCTACTGAGGTCATCCCCTGGAACAGTCCTCACTTGGACACTGCTTCACTCCTATGTTGGAAACTTTGTCCTGAAACAAAAAAGGAAAACAAAACAAAACAAAAAAAAAAACAAAACTGCTTTGCCTGCAGTGGGATACTCAGAGCTATTCATGATTATGTACTACCTTATAGACTATTATAACTCAGGTTTTATCCACTTTGCCTAATACTCCCCCTTCTCTTCTGTTATTATTTTATTTTATTTTATTTTATTTTATTTTATTTTTTTATGTGTGTGTGTGTGTGTGTGTGTGTGTGTGTGTGTGTGGCCAGCTCAGCCCACCAGGGGGCAAGGCTGGCTAGCATGTGGTGCTGGGGTATTGAACCGTGGTCTCTTGTGCTTTGCTAAGCTTGTTCTAAGTAGGTGCTTTAGACCACTGAGCCATCTCACCAGCCCTCTCTTCTGATTTCTACTCACAATGCACTGGAGATTCACAAGATCATGTCCTCTGTAGAGTTTTACAAGATTCCTGTGTACATGAGTATTCACTAAGTGTTTGCCTAATTGACATTATGAGGTTAAAGGAAATAGCATCTATGAGATACAGAATTCAATAGACAAAATAAACAGAATTTATTGACTACTGTTTCCTCTGATCCTTCTGTCTAGCTATAATCTCATGTATGGATGACTTGTTTAATTCTGTGTTTGCCTTTACTATCAGGAGTACTCTTTGGCAAATACCTAGTTTTCATGTTGGGTATCTCCAGTCCTTCCCAGTTTTATTGGAGGCCAAATTGATTAACATCCTTTCTATAGATAGCAAAAAATAACACAGTTTACCTTCGGGGTAATGGCATGGGTTTTGAAGTTGAACAGACAGTTAAATTGTAGCTCTGTAATTTATTAGCTCTTTCACTTGGAACAATATCCTTATCTTACATGAGACTCAATTTTCTAAGATGTGATTCAGCAATTAATTTCAGGCTCCGTAAGTTCAATAATATATGTAAAATACTTGGCACTTGGTTGAAGCTCTCTTGTCATTTTATTCCAGTTCTGCTATCTATCTTATCTCCATGGAAAGCATTGCTAGATGCTTTCATTGGCCATAAATCAAATTCTTCCAAGGATTTCTTTAACTTCTTCAGGATTTTAGGGTTTCTGTCAACATTGCTATATCATCTAATTCCTGAGAGTAGCTTCAAAGGAGAGCTAAGAATGAAAACAGTCTTAAGGTATTTCATACCATGAGACCCAAATAAGGAAAGCAGGGAGTTGGGCCATGTGTTTCAGCTGTCCTGCCTGAGCTGGAGTGATCCACTGCTATCTCCCAGAGCTAAGTTCTCAGTGTCTCTGCTCTGAGTCTTTTGGTAGCTGTGCTTGCCTTTTGTTCACAGGAATTTCCAACAGTCACTTACAAAACTCATCCAATATTTATTTATAATGTACATACTAATATGTGCCAGACATTCTTATGAGTGCTTACCCATAATCTGCAATTTATAATTGTATGAGAATTGTATTCTCTTGGTATAATTTCAACGTTATTATTTTTCCACTGCAAAAGCAAAGGTAGCCTTTTCCCTACTTACAATCTCTTGCCTTCCATCCCTTTTTCTTACTCCTCTAATTAGGATTCTGGACTTGATTTAAGGTTTAATTTTGATGATTTACACCATGAAAAAAAGTCGTCGTTTTTATATGTGTGGGTGGCTTATGTTTCTGTCTAGACATGCATGTTACTGCCCCTAATGGATAGTCATACTTGGAACTGTTCTCTTCACTGCTCATCCACAGCAGGAGACAACTGATTATTGGTCCTCAACCAAAAATTTCTGTGAAGATCCTCCAAGTGAGAAAGAGGCCTTAGGAGAAGCTAGTTGGGCAATAGCATTTTACATTTAAAATAAATAATTTGCATTCATGTATTTTGTTGGTAACACTCCTGGAAATATTATTTGCATATTACTGCAATAACATGATATATTTTGGTATTTTCCTCTGCCAGTCCAATTACGCTTATTTAATGAAATCCTGTCCTCTTACCTTTTCATATGATTCTTGTTTTATTTGGCTGTAATTATTAACTTTCCATGTGGCAGGTATTAAAATCTGTATATTTCTGAAAAACACTCTTCTCTTGGTAGCATTGAACAGGTAAAAAGAAGCTTCAGTTATCATTTCCTATACATGAACCAAAAGATAATTTATTTTATCATGTGTAAAGCATTTCTATTTTGACATTATAGTTGTATGAAAAGATAGAGGCAAAATTTGTAAGAAAAAAATTTAATAGTTATGTGGAAGAAAGGAAAATGTGTGTCTAGGCTTGCCCTCTTGATTATCCCAAAACTCTGAAAGAGTTTTAAGCTTTCCCAGAAAAATCCTTTCCATTTCATACCTGTAGGCACGCTCACAGCCACACCTTATGATGAAACAGTTTTCACTCAGGAAGTAACCAAAAAGAGGAGCTTGAGTAATGATCCACCCTTGCTACATTAAAGTGAAAACACTTATTTACAGAACATTAGGTGAAAAGACAGTTTTGTTCTCTGGCCCTCAATACATATTCTTACCCTTTCTGTCTAAGAATTTTCAGCCTCAGGATGAGGGGCAACAAGATGATTCTATAATAACTGTCATGGTCATTCAGCAAATACCCAGTCTGATTTTGCTGTATTCGATTGTTACTTTTGTAAGCTGTTATCCCCCAAGACAAGCATGTGAGAACACAACAAAATGAAAACCAACAGTAACAGAAACAACAGAAGGGAGGACTACAGGATGGTAGTAACAGACAAGAATAAAGAGGGCTAGATCATTACTCTGTGAACTGCATTACACACAACCAGATGAATAAACTGGCTTTGTCATAGTCATAATTTTCGGCATTTTCTTTAAGGAGTGCTGTTCTCTCTACCATTCAAATGAAAACCAGGTGTACTTGTTAGCTCTTTAATGAAGGCTACAAGTCTGCTCTAATGAGATTGTAACATTGATTCGTAATTACCACTCACCTTAATGTTTGGGACGAGATCCTGATTCTCAGGTACCTGTGGATTGATTGCAACAAGTAATCCATCATATCCATTGTCTTTAAGCTGTACTCCGGCTCCCAGGAATGAAAGTTCCGGGCTTAGAACAGCTAGAAGAGTCACAAACTTCAGACTGCAGAGAAGACTTACATTGTCCCTGTGGGTCATGTTGTAAAGAAGTCTGTTGTTCATTCACAGGGGGCCTGCTGGGCACATTGTGTCAGGTGTTAAATGTAGAAGTAGATGGTCGCTTCCTGTACTTGGAAGGTCTGAGAATATTTCATGAAGAAATCCTTTCTCTTAAAGCTCCTGGGTGGATCTATCTGGGACCTGTCTCTACAAGTTCTTTTTCTCTAAGGCAATGCCACACTTCACTCCTCTGTGGTTGAGCTTCCTCCTGATTCACAGTTGTGCAAGAATGCTTCCACTCCTTGTTCATTTCGTATCCTTTCAGAAGAAAGAGGGAAAGAAGTCAAAAGGAACTCAAAAGTAGGCAGCCTGCCCTGCTGGGCTGGGGATCAGGGTAGGCAGACTGATGAAGCCACTTGCAGCGCAGACACAGAATCCTCCTGTGATTTTCCTTCACTCATCCTTGGCAGCCTCCTGTCAATCAGCACAACTACTTCCGTACTGCACTCAGGTCACTGTTTTTGTTGGTTGTAAGATTTCTTTGCGTGCTTATTTTGAAGATTTAGGAATCCATTCTGCAGCCCTGTCCCTAGAGCTTTGGGTGAGGCAGTCTGGCAGGCTCTCAACTGATGGCTGGGGTTAGGGGATCAGATATCCCCTAGGGAGGGCAAGAGCAAGGAACTTAAATGCTCTGCAGGCCATAAGGCCTTTCTCTGACCTTGCTGTCTTTTTCCCGCTGGACTGAGGAGAGGAATGGGTTTCTCTCCTGCATCTCTCCTCAGGACAAGGCCCTACCTCAGTCGGTGTATTTCACCAGTACCCATCACTAGATTTAGAATTATAGTAGGCTTTCTAGTTTACAAATTAGCCCATTTAAATGTCAACTTCCTGATCTAGGTATAACTTTCATTCTCATTTTTCAAATAAAGATATTGGATATCTGAAAGATGATAATTAGCCAATGTGGGAAGGAACTGATATTTATTGAGTTATGGGTTTTATTATGCCCTTTTATGAGTGACAAAATTGAGGCTCTTAGAAAGTCTAAAAAATTTATTCATAGTTGGGTTTATTATCATAGTGCTAAAATGAGATCAAATGTCATTGTTTGTCATTATTTCATTATGAAATTACCATAGAAATGGCTAGAAAGATAGTCTGGTGATCTAAGCACCTGCCTCGCTAGTGCAAGGACTCAGGTTCAGTCCCCAGAGCCCCATGTTATACCACTGTGTCGGCCACCAAAATTGGGCATGGTGGTGCACATCTGTAATCCCAGAACTAGGGAGACTGAAACAGGAGGATCACTACAGGCCCAAGCTACACAGTGAGACCCTGTACCAAATAAAGAAATGAATTAATAATGATAATTTAATTCAAATTATCATATGAGTGTGATCTCTTTTTTTAATGTAAGAATCTCACACAAAGTAGAAACTACTGAAAAACTGTCTAATACTTGGGGATATTTTACCTATTGGAGTCCAGAGTCAACAAACTGAGAGATAGTTTGTCACCAGCACACTTCCTCCCTGTGGTTCCCTCTCTGAATGCTGGGGGGTGGGGAAGAGTAGCAGGTAGAGAAGGACCTCTCCGCTCCTGCTCTGAGCATGGATGTCTCATGAAGACTCAGCTCTACCAGCCACCTTCAGGATCAAGTTGATGCTATTCTTACTTCCTTAAAACCTAGGATCTTTTGGTGTCTTCTTCATGGCAAATAATCATAGCAACAGACAGAACTGAACCAGTCCTTACCACACAGGCATTTTGCCTTTTGTTTTTAGATCTTCTTTTGCAAAGTAAGTAATCTTATGATCTTCGTTTTGCACATGAGAAACTGGGACTTAATAGGTTCCATAAAACAGAGACTACCCCAATGACTGGTTGAGAAAAGTATTAGTTAATATATTCAACAGTACCTTGCAGGTAGTGACATATAAGTATTACCTATCATTGTTATTACCACCTTCACTTGACATGTATTATCCTTTCTCTCCTCCTCTCACAAGTATTTATTTTTCATTGACTCAGTGCACTGTGCAAGGCACTGGGGATATTAGTGAAAAAATTTCAGCTCCTCTCCCCCAAGGAACTCCCAATCTAACAGGGACAATGATAAATTATGAAAAGACAGCAGTGGAGATAACAGTAACCCATTGAGGAACATCTAAACCAGTGTGAAACAGGGTGCCAGAAAGATTCTATAAAGGCAGGACTCTCTAAACTGAGCCAAAAAGAATGAGTGGGACTTAAGCAAGATGGAAGAGAGTGGAGAGGAGCCTTCAAAGCAAAAATCTTGAGGTAAAGGGCTGAGTAGGGAGAATTCAAAAACCTGCAAATGAAGCCTCAGAGCCACATCACAGAGGAATGCTAAGAAGAATGTCTCCCCTGAAGCCCCTCTACACGGAATTCACTCTTTTCACCAGGTTTTCCTCCTGTCCAATTCCAGCTCTGTCTTACAAGCCTGACCTGAGCTCCCTAACTGGGTCAAATCCTTTCGTTCATGCTTTCGCAGCACCAGATGCCTGTCCTTGGGAGGATGAGCTTGGTTACACTGTCACATTGGTGTGCCTGTCGGCTTCTAGCTGTAAGCTGAATGGTAGAAGGGCCATGCCTGTTTCATCATTGCTTCCCCAGCATCTAGGTGAGTTAGCTTTCAATGTTTCAAAGATTGAATGGAATTAGGAGAAGGCGATAATAAAAGCCAGATTGCGAAGGACCCCTGGATCTCAGTGCAAAAATGCTGCCGCCCTCTTTGTTTCCTAGAAGGTTAGCCCCTCTGTTCTGAGCAGTTTCCATCTGACTCTCTCCTGACAGACAGCGGTTGGGTCTTGGTACTCCCTGGGTGTGTTGGGAATGGAATGTCACTGTTCACCATGTGGTTGCCAAACGTGTTCACCCTAAAGCTCAGCCTTGTCGTATGATGCTGATTTCTAGTGTGTGTTTTTTTCCACTGGCTGGAAATTCTAAAAGTCTGCCTGTTACCATGACTCAGCAGAATAAAACAATTCATTTCAACTTTTCTTGGCACTCCATTTTCTTATGCCAGTCTCTTGTGCTTTTAAGAAAAAACATATCCAGAAGTAAAACAATATGTTCAAAACTTTAACTCAGAGGCAAAGTGTGAGAATGACTGCCTTCCTCACTCCTCAGAAATCAGGAAGTGTTTCTGGCCACTATGTACACTTGTGTAAATTGTTCAGTGGAGGAGGAGACAATTGGAGGCAGCCATGCGGGGCTCTCCATTTGTGTCTATTATCAGGTGAAACGACCCTGGTGTGGAGGAGAGTATGTGCATGTGGCTTGAAAAAGAACCACCAGACACAAGCCATCTTGTCCAACTTTACCTGTGTTACAACCTGGACCACTTGGGCTTGGCTTTGCCTGGGCTGAGTCCAGGCAAACATCTACTTATACCCACCTTCCCTTTCGTTTCTGGGCTCTAGTCTGGTTACTTCACAAGATTCTACTTCTACCACCTGTTTCTTAGAAGTTCTCAGTCATTGACTCACTTTCAGGCCATGTGTTGGAATCACATGCACTTCGAAAAGCCTTTCCAGTCACCTCTGTTCGGTCCTGCTCTTCCACACCCACTCTGCTGTCAGCAATCAGACATGGAGGCAGGCCAATGGAAGATTTCTTCTTACTGCCTTCTCCCTATAGGAGACAAAACTGAAAAGCTGGAAAGATCTGACTTGGATAAATGATTAAAAGTTACACCCACTCATAGCATTCCCTGGTAAAGTATGACTTTCAATTAACAATTTATCCTTTTATGTAAAAGGTGTGTACTGGTCATATCCATGGATGTTTTGATATCCGAAGAAAAATGGGAATACAATTTTCAAGGACTTATTTCAGTGTTATATAAACTCTAGGAATCTACTCTCCTTTTATCTGCTTTCAAAAAATAAGAGTTATTCGATTTCAGTAACTGAAGAATCTAAAGGACATCTTTGTTCACTGTCCGAATCTGCAGGTCAGCCTGGCCTCAGATCGGCCTGTCTAGTTCTCTTCTTGGAGTCTGCTTGTGCAGAGCCCCAGGGAAGGTGAATAAATCATCCAACTGGTGTCTGAGAAGTGAGATTTGACGTCTGGAGGAGTCAGAGAAAGTTCTGAATCGTTTCCTTTCAGTCCTTTGTTTCAAGAATACTATTTAAAAGAGAAAATTGTAGACACTCTGTGGATGGGCTGCAAAGCTTATGGGGTACTTTTGTTTATGCAATGTTTATGAAATGAACCAAAATCGAAGTGAGAAAAATTGTAAAATCCAAGATACAAACTGTTGAACAGAGTTTTCAAAAGGCCCCTAGTGGCACACCTTGTACCACCTTTTCTCATTACCTCAATATTTATACGCATTCTCTGAGCCACAGAATGAAGCAGATGGTCCACACAAGGCCTGAGACATCATGTGTATCTGTTGAGCCACCATACAACCAAAGCATGGAGACCAAAGAAAAAGGTGAAATACAATAAGACATAAACACAGACTTGAACATGTGAATGAACCAAGCGACACCTGGAGATAATTCTTCAAGGGCTTGGTAAGGAAAGGATTCCAAAATTGAGTAAGACATCTTCCAAGGTGGAAGGAGACATTGAATTTATGTATTGCATGTAGGAAAAAAATACTTGGGAACCCCAGACATTACCACAAACCACTCCTTGTGTTTGGATGATGCGTCACAATTTTCAAAGCATCTCAATATGTACTTTATCTCATGAATCACAGAAATTTATGAAGCCTTCAGTGGAAATTAAAAAATAGTAAAGGTAGTTACACATTTTGAAGATCATTTCAATGGGGTCTGTCTTGGATACAAAGCTAAGATTTAGCTCATGATTTCAAATTCATTGTGTGCCTATCATTAGAGTGTACTTTAGGAAAAAGAGGATATTCTAAAACTCTTGAGACTTGATTTCTTCACCTCTAACATAAGCAAGTTAAGCTACTTGTGGCACATTCTTTATATACTTTAATGTGGCAATAACTTAACAGAAGTTATAACACATGCACACACACACACACACACACACACACACACACCCCACCCCAAATTTTGCTCAAATGAATGAGAAATATAACACACACACACACACACATACACACACACAATATCCCAAATTTTATGAAATTAATAGGAAATAAGAACTATTAATGACAACTTAATAAAAAGAATAGGAGCAAGGGTATTAAAAAATTCCTTATTTGCAAAGCGAGTAGAAAACTGCCTACTATAAAATACTGTTACATGTAGAATGTGGCATCATT